GAGCCTGAGAGGAGGCCATTTGTTATTCCCTACTTCCTGTATATCCAGACACCAGCCTCATCTTGACATGCCCAGAACTGGCAAGAGCAGCCCCCTGCCTCCCCTTGGCTCCCAGGGAACAGAAGGTCAGCACCACCTCCTTATCATCACAACCTTCCCCCGGAACCTGGTGCCCTTCCCTCTGAACCCGTGACCCTTGCTCTGGCACCCACATGATCAGCTCCCCACCCCCTGCCTCTTCCCTACCATCTTTCCCACTAATTTGGTGTCATGCTTACCATATCCTCTTTCAACGGGTGGTAGGGGTGGAGAGTAAGGTTTATGTGCATGTTCCTTTTTCAATGAAAGAATTAGCACAAATTGAACAGTATCTGGGGGTCCTTCTCTGAAAATCCTTATAAATATCACAATGAATCCTTGTGAGTGACTCAGGCTTTCAATCTGACATATATCTCATCCTGACATCTACCTTGACACCAGATGAGAAAGATAGGATATGGAGGAAAGAAGAGTTATATGATGATGACCTCCACCACCAGAATCTGGCCAGTCCTATTCTCACACAAGTATCCCAAGCAGTTCCAAATACCAGTCCTAACAACCTTCCTTGGACATAGGAATCAGAAAAAAGGACCATATGATAAGGCGTCTCCTGTCAGGAATGGAAAAGAATACCTATAAGGCAGTAAATTATGAAAAACTAAGAGAAATCATGCAGGGGCCAGATAAAAATCCCAATCTTTTTATGTCTCACTTCACAGAGCCCATGACCAAATATACTAATATGGACTCAGACTCTAGAGAGGGTCGAGTTTTTCTACACCTTTAATTTATATCTCAGTCTGCCCCAGATATTAGAAAGAAACTTCGAAAGCTAGAAGAAGGCCCTCAAACTCCCAAGAATGAGCTTATTAATGCCACTTTCAAGGTTTTTAAATAATAGGAACAAGGAACAGAGAGTCCCAAAGGAAAAACAGACAAAGCTAAAATATCAGATCCTCACCTCAGCATTACAGGGAACCAGTAAAAAGGTCATTTAAAAAGATGTCTCTGCCAGCCTGCTCCACACTTGCTTCAAATGTAGCAATGGACGGCACTGGGCAAAAGCATGCCCCAATCTATGTTCTTCAGCAACGTCTTGTTCCAAATGCAGACAGTTGGGCCACTGGAGGATGAACTGGCCTATGCTGGAATGCCCTTCCAGCACAGCACAAATACAGCCACCAATAAGCAGCCCTCATCCACCTCAACTACCATTACAGGTTGCTGGCTTTGGCAACGGAGGACTGACAACACCAGAGTCCATTGCCCCCATGATTCCACTAAGTGAGTACACAGAACCAATGACGCGTAGGACTGTATCTGGTAAGGCTGTATCATTCTGATTGGATACCGGGGAAAGTTTTTCCATTTTGAGGGAATTCCAAGGACCCCTCAGTAAATCATCTATCTCAGTGATCAGAATGAAAGGGATCAAAGAACAGCCATGGCAAACACTTCCCTTCTATTGCACTATAGTAGATACAATTTTGTTACACTCTTTGGTAATGCCAAATTATTTAATTTTCTTATTAGGAAGGGATCTGATGCACAAGCTGGTGGTAATGATCTATATGCTTTCTAGCATGAAACCCATTTGATTTTAGTGGTTATGCCAAACAAATGATACCCACCAACACAGGTCAGAGGATGACTTACACACATACTGGCCTCTTCTGAATCCTGAAATTTGGAATATGTCTGTCCCCAAGACTGCTTCCCACCATACTCCTATAAAAATTTCATTAAAGGACTCCAATCACTTTATCGCTTTTTCTCAATAGCCTCTGTTTCCAGAAGGGCCAAAAGAAGATACTGAGTCTCAATAACAAAAACAAAAACTTCTCTCCTTTCTGGGTTTGTCAAGCTGTTTCAGAATGTGGATTCAAACCTTTGCACTAATGGCTTAACCCCTTTTTGAAGCAGCCAGGGAAGGCAACTGGACAACTTCACCCCTGATGACCCCACATTAATAAAAACTTTGAAGACATAAAAGAGGCATTGGCATAGGCTCCAACCTTATATCTGCCAAATCCACAAAACCCCTTTCTCCTCTATATACATGCTGCCAAATCCCATGCTCCAGGATTGCTGGCACAAAAGGCAGGAGACTCACTACTCCCAGTGGCTACCTATCTAAACAGTTTGATCCAGTATATCAGAGTTGGCCCCACTACCTAAGGATAATGGTTGCAGCTGCTCTACCAATTCCAAAGGCTCAAAAGATCTCCCTCTATCAGCATATTGAGATCTATATCTCCATATTATTCTAGACTTGACCTGCCACCAAGTCTCATCTATTTCCCCTTCCAGAGCACAAATTTTACACTCTAATTTAATTCAACCCCTGATGGCTTTTCACGAAAGTGTAGCCCTTAATCCAATCACTCTCATGTTGCGGCTACAATTAGATCAGCCTGATGATCCAGGAACTTTTACTGCCACCACCTCAGTGAATCCTCACCAGCACAGACTGGCTCACCTGATAGGTGATGATAACACCACCTGTGAGCCTGAATGGATCTATCTGTTACATGGCAGGGTGTGCGGATGTTGTAGGGATGTGTGGGACTCAACTTGATGCCAGAGTGACCAGCCCTTCTTCAGCATCACCCAGCTTTGATACTCACACACATGGGTATTGAGTCCAGGCAAGACAAGGCAGCTCAGGTGCCTTCTCAGAGGGTAGTATCCAGTTGGGAAGGCTGTGACCTATCACCCTTGGAGAGATGTCATCTGGTCTAAAGTTAGCTGCATTCCAGATTGCTCCTTGGGCAGGGTCCTGTGCTCCCTGCAGACTAAACTTTCACCCAGTACCATGCGTAGCATCATTGCTGCATCCTGAAAGTCCAGGTGCCCTGGATGATCCCAGATGAAGCGCTGCCAAATACTGGCCCCTCCCCACATACCTACCTTTTTCTAATAACTGGTTCAAAACCTGCCCTGCCAGGTATGCTGTGACACCCAAAGAGCAGAAATGCTGCCTGATGCTGGCAGAGGTCCCAGCATCTAATGCAGTAGGCCCCCCATAGATGGTGTTTGCCATGGGGCTCCTGGGCTGGACCTGGGAAATAACTACAAAGGGAATCACATTCTGCTCACAGAATACCCTTGACCTCTCCTACGGCCTTTCCTGACCACAGTTCTCAGGATGTCCAGACACTCAGTGTTCAACAGGTGTGTGAACAAGACAGGCGTGCCCTGCTCTCAACACCTGAATCCATGAGCCCTCCTTTTCACCTGTCTGCAGTGGTGTGTGGGCTTGAGGATCTGGCCCAACATTACTATATATTTGGTGCTAGAGCCAAAGAGCTTGATAGGTGTGTCTGTCCTAGCAACCTGTAGCCACCTGGGAAAGGATGTGTGTGTGTGTGTGTGTGTGTGTGTGTGTGTGTGTGTGTGTGTACTGAAAATATTATTTCAGTCTCAGTTGTGAGGCTCAAAGTACCATTCCAGACCCAGGCCCAGGCAGTTGACCCTGTGGCTGTTGCTGAGGCTGGGTTGGGTCTCTGTCTCCCACTTTCAGCAGGCTCAGACCTGACATCCTGCTTGACCCTTCCCCATTGTTTTCTGACCCCACAGAGATACATTAAGAGGTCAGCAGGGTCAGGGCTCAGCTTGTGACTAGGACCAGGGCTCAGTGTGTGACCTGCTCAGGCTCAGGGCTCAGTTTGGGAGCAGATTCAGAGCTTAGTGTGTGACCATGGTCAAGACTCAGTGTGAATAGGACAGCAAAAAGGAAGACGGCAGCCTCCAGCTTTCCTAAGCTGCCTCATGGGCACGTGGGTCATGGCAACTTCAGCAATGTGTATGAGCCCATGGAGGACACGTTCCTGCTGCTGGACACACCGGAGGTGGCAGTGTCTGAGCTGGTGGGAGTGGACATATACCTTGAAGTAGGGTCAGGGTCTGGTGTGGTGTCCGCATTTCTAGCTTCCATCATAGGTCCTCAGCCTTTGTACATGTGCACTGATGTCAACCCAGAGGCCACAGCTTGTACCCTGGAGACTGTGCTGTAACAGGTTCCATATCCAATCAGTCATTACTGACATGCTCAAAGCCTTGCTACCCAGATTGAACAAAAAAGTTGATCTTCTGATACTTAATCCCCCCTATGTAGTGACTCCACCTGAAGAGGTAGGAAGTCATGGAATAAAAGCAGCTTGGGCTGGTGCCAGAAATGGTCAAGAAGTCACAGACAGATTCTTTCCACTAACCTCAGATCTACTTTCCCCAAGAGGATTATTCTATTTAGTTACCATAAATGAAAATAATCCAGAAGAAATTTTGAAAACATTGAAGACAAAACATCTATATGGAACCACTGCACTTTCCAGACAAGCAGGTCAAGAAATCCTGTCGGTCCCCAAGTTCACCAAGTGCTAATAAACCAAGAGCTAGTGAAAGTGTGCCAGGAACTACTGGAAACTGAATGCATTTCTCAGTGAAAGAATTTTATCAGAAATTTGTTGTAAAGAAAGAAATGGAAAGATGGTGCTTCCCTCTCACCACCAGGAAATCAGGCCTACAGAAATATTTGTACATGTGTAAGTAAATATGTGTAGTATATTTGTAATTTTAATTTTATGTAAAGTTGTATATGAAAGGCAGGGAATATATATAGCGAAACGAGGGAATCAACCTAAACATCCATCAGGAAGGATTGGTTAAAATAAATTAACTGTTTCAGTTTCACTGACCATACAGCCATTAAACATGAGTAAAGTCTATTTATACTGAAGCAAAAAAGGTCTGTGATATACCATTGATTGAAAAGAGTTGCAGCAGCTTCATTATGTATATATATTTTTAAAAAATGATAACGACCATGTGTTTGTATGTCTATAAAAAATAAACTCTCAAAAGATCAATAACAGGAATGAAGGAAGTTTTACTCTTTTATTTGTATTTGTACAGTGATAGATGGAGAATGACCATGAATTATCAAGCTTAACCAAGTGACTCCAGTTGCATCTGGTGTAACAGATGTGGTTTCATGGAGCAAATTAGCACATCTCTTGGTGCCTGTTATGATCTGATAAATGCCTCTTTCTTCACACCTGCCCATAAAGGCCCAGCAATATACCTTCACTGTCCTACCTAGGTAATATCTACTCTGTAGCCTATGTCATATTATAGTCTGCAGGGATCTTGATCACTTTCTGAACTTACTGGTACGAAGTAGGAAATCTGATTAAATTCAGGGGCCTTTTACCTCAGTGAAATTAGTGGGGCATGTTGAGATATCTCTTCTAAAGTAAAGATAAATACTTGAAGAGGTTTTAAAAGTATTAACTGTTCCTACAACAAAGATGGCACCTGGTAGACTCTGGAGTTTTAGAGGCAACAAATGCATATTTGGATATGTTACTCTAGCCCATTTACCAAATGACTCAAATATTTGCTAGTATTTTGAGATGGGCCTAGATAAAAAGGAGGGTTTGCACTGGTTGAGACTGCTGTGCAAGCTGCTCAGCCACATGTGCTTTGAGATCCAGCAGACTCAGTGGTGCTTGAAGTATCAGTGGCAGTTAGGGGTGCAGGAGAGCCTTTCGCAGGCCTCTACAGGCGAGTTGCAGTTGCAGGCCTTTGGGATTTTGGAGCAAGACCCTGCTAATGTCACAGATAGCTACTCTCATTTTAAGAGAGCTCTTGGCCTGCTACTAGACCTCAGTTAATTCTCAGTGCTTAAGCATGATTCACTGGTTTATCATGTGATCTGAGCTACCCATCATGGACTGGATATTATCTGACCTACCAAACAAAGTTGCTGTGCACAGAAATCCTCCATCATCAAAAAAGGAAAAACAAAGGAAAAAAAAAAAAAGAAACTCTCTATCATCAAAAGGAAATCATATTATACACGATTGGGCCTGAGCAAGCCCTGAAGGCAGAAGTTCCATAAAGAAGTGATCCATCTAAGAAGGGAGGGAGAGAAAAGGAAGGAGAAAGAAAAGTAAAAAGAGTTAAGATGCAATGTACACATGTGCCAGCTCCCCTCAATGAATACATTCATTATGCACCATAAACATACTAATAAAAAAAAAAGGTTCACAGTGAAACCAGACTCGGGGCTATGTGTGATCAGAATCAGGTCTCAGTGTATGACTTGACTAGGATCAGGGCTCAGTGTGGGACCCGGATGAGGACTCAGTGTGTGAGCATGGTCAGGGCTCAGTGTGAAACCAGATTCAGGGCTCAGTGTGCGAACAAACTCAGAGCTTTTATCCACAGCCGACCTTTCTCCCTCTTCCTTTCAGAGAGCCAGTACTAAATGGGAGCCATTTGAATCTGATGTTTCCCATGTGCCGGCATGTGTAGGACAGGTCACGTGGAATACCACATCCACTCTTCCTCAGGCCTTTAGGAAAGAGGCCCCAGGTGGTTCCCATTTTGGAGAAAGAAGACAGGACAGGGGAACCAACAGCATTTGTCAGAAGCAATGCTGGAAAATCTCAGCACCCAGATTAGAAGTGAGTCTTCCCAGCCCCCTATGACCCTACCCACAGGCCCAGACCTCTGAGTCCCAAGTGCCCAGGTCCAGGTGCCACAGGAAGGGAGACACTCACTGTTCCATGTGGTCAGGCAGTAGCGGATTTGGGCTCCGCAAGACACAGGCTGGAAACAATCCTTTGTAGCAGTGCACTCATGACACTGCAGTGCCTGCCCTGGGGGAACATAGCTGGGATCAGAGACCAAAGCCTCCAGCTGCACAACTGCCCACCAAGCACCACCTGACCAAGCTCTGCACTGCTCCTGTACCCTCCACCCTGCCAGGTAGACAGCTGCTCCCCAGGGAACCCTGGGGCTTGTAAGCAGCTCACTCTCTGGGTCCCAGAGCACTCCAGGTGCAGTGCCCCATGGCGAGGGCAGGAATCAAAGCTATGAGCAGCCAGAGGCCTCACCCCTCCCAGCACCACGGGAGAAGCCCACTGTGGACAGAGGGCAACTCCTGCCCAAGAGTGACACAAGTGCAGCAGATAAGAAGGCAGAGGACCTCTGGCAAGCCCCAGCCTGTACCCTGCCTCTGCTCTGGGCAGCAGGGCCACATCATTCTGGGGCCCGTCCAGTTCCTCAGGATGGCTGCCAGCATCTCCAGGGACCCTGGGTCCCCAGGACCGGGATCCCAATGACTCACCTGGCCACACGAGCAGGAGCAGAGGCAGCCACAGCAGGGGAGTCCTCATGGCTGGGCCAGGTGATAGGCGGGCAGGGCACATGGAGCCCTGTGTATGGGTCTTTATAGCTGGCAGGTGGAGTGCCAGGTTCCTCAGTCACTCCTAACTGCTGCATGTGTCATCCTGGGGGTGTGGTCAGACAGCAAATACCTATGGAATCCACCAGGCCTGCTCCAGGACTCCACCCACCACTCAGCCTCTCCTGTTCAGGGTTCCCCTGCCAACCTTCCCCACCCTCCTCCATCCTGGGCAACACTGCTCTGCATCTTGCTGGGGCCTGTTGTCCAGGGCACATTGTCCTCTTGCTCACAGTAACAAATGCCACAGACAGGGCCCAAACCAGGAAAAGAATCTTCTCACAGCTCTGGAGCCTGGAATCCGAGGTCCTTTGCAGGCAGGACTGGCTCCTCCTGGCTTCTCTCTTTGCCATGTGGATGGTTATCTTCTCTGTGCTCTCATGTGGTTGTCCCTCTGTGTGTGTGTGTGTGTGTGTGTGTGTGTGTGTGTGTGTGTGTGTGCGCTGATCTCCCCTTCTCACAAGGACCCAGTCAGCCTGGATCAAGGCCCATCCTGGTGACCCTACTGTAACATAATCACCTCTCTAAAGATCCCACCTGCAAACATAGCCACCCTCTGAGGTCCTGGAGTTTTCAAAACCTCAACATATGAATTTGGGAAGACAACCAGTTCATTTCATGACACAGGGGGAGATAAAATTGGGCCGTTTTGCCAACTTGGATTTGGGGGTGCAAATATGGTCATCCATGGCTCTGTGAGGCTGGATGTTACTGCCTCCCTACTGCCTCCATGGCAAGTGGCTCTGTGTGAGGGATGCTCAATCAGGAAAATATGAAGAATGCTGTGGGAGTTCAGGAGGCAATGAAGTCTGTTCTCCACCCACACCACAGGCCCTCAGGATGCCCCTAGTTCATGTCCCACAAAGAGTGAAGAACCACAACCAATTAACAGAGCCTCAGAAGTATGTAAAATCTGACCCTGTTTCAAAACATGGAAACAGGAAGAATAGATTACACTGGATGTGAGCATCCCCAGGAAAGCAGAGAGGAGGGCAGAGCAGAAGCTTGGGAAACTTCTGGACATGGTTTGTGAATCTGAGGGTGCACAGATGCTCTTGGCTAAATACTCCACCATGATCTGTAGAGCATGGGTCCCCCCAGCTCTGGGGAAAGGCATGAATGACAGCCTAAGGACACTGTGGTCTAGGGATTCTCACATGTGATTCCCACAAGTGGTTAGGATCCCTCCGATGGAGTAGAGGGCACAGAGGACCAAATGATGCATAAAGTTGTTTGGCTGCTCCCGCTCAGTCCCCGCTTCCCCCTAGATGTGTGTGGGCTCCAGGAACACCACACACACCGCTGCACATGCAGAGATCAGAGAGAATGAGTGGCGCAGCACTGTTCTAGTCCTCTGTGTGGTCTTGAACAAATCCAGCCCCTGTGTCCTGCCCTGTGCTGTCTCAGGATGTGCCTGTAGATTTAGCAGGGCCTAGCTCGATGCCATTCTGCTTTCCTGTCTAGAGGGCCCCTCTGGATCTCTCTTCCTGGACTATACACCCACCACAGGTCCTGGGTCCTGCCACTTCACCAAGTGCCCCTTAGAGACCGTGGAAGCTGAGGCACAGTGCAGACCAGGCCCTGTCCAAGGCCACACAGAGGCAAGAGATGGACAGCATAGAGCTCAGGTCCTTACAGTCCATGGGGGTCCTCCTCCATGGCTGGTTGGGACCAGGAGATGAGTGGCGATCATATCCTCTCCATCACCAGGAGAGAAAGTAGGTGTGGGGATGGGCAGCAGGCTAGGAACACTGAGGGATAGGACTTGCTGAAAGACCAGGCAGGGTCCAAAGTGCATGGACTTGGCCTTTCTTCACAACTTCCTTGAACCCAGGTGTGTACTTCGTCCATTCTGTGAACAAAGAAACTGAGATGACCAGCTGGTCACCTTGGGTGAGAACTGCCCTCCACGGGGGAGCTGTGTCTTTTGGTCAGCAAGGGGCTTTCCCTGATGGACTCAAGGCCCCAGGACTGGGACAACTTACCTTGGTGCCTCAGGCTCCTGCCTTGCTCCCCTGTGCAAGGGGATAGCTGTCACCTTCCTGGGGACACAGCTGATGACCTCACCCAGCTCAGCCTCAGCCTGCCGATGTGTCAGGACTCCCAGAGATAGTCATGGGAGAGCCGCATGTGACAAGGCAGCAGCACCAAGACTTTGGTTGGTAGCCCCATGCAATGGGCTCCTCCACCTGGGAGACAGCAGGGGCCGACATGCTCTGAGGCCCTCCACACTCATTTTCCTGGATCTTACAGCATCCCAGAAAAGGAACAGGGTGCCACTATTGCCTCCAGCTGAGTCCAAGGCCCAGCCACGCTTTCTGTGTCATGCTAACTCTTCTGGGTCACCAGTAATGTCACTTTTCAGCTAAGGGAGTAAGCTGGAGATCTGGACCTGGCCAGATTATCCTGATTAGCTGGGTGGCCCTAAGTGTTATTATAGGTGTTTATAAGAGGAAAGTCAGAGGGTCAAGAAGCTAGGAGTGACTGAGACTAAACCATGAAGCTTCCATTCTGCTAAGTGGACCCAGAGAAATGAACCCAGCTGAAATTCTGTCCTGGGGGAGGCAGCTCATGACCTGGATGATAAGCTCACAGACAGGTTGTGAGGCAGGGGACCCCCTCAAAGGGATTTAAGCCATGTGCTCAGAGGGGCTGCTACTGACTGGCTGCAAGAGGCCCTCTGCTACCACTCCTGTTCCCAGGACAGCCTTGCTCCCAGAGGCCTGTCCCCTCCCCGCCCTGGGAATTCCCTGAGCCATCACACCCAGCAAACAGGCCTGCTGACTCTTTGCCTAGATGCTGAGTTCAAGTGAGAGGTGCTAGTTAAGACCGACAGTAGGTCCTGGGTCACCCATACATACAAACCATAGCCATCTGTCCCAGTAGCCCCTGTTGTCTCTGGAACCTCTGTCACTGTGGCCTGAGCAATTCAGGAGGCTCCGTTAAGGAGGCAGCCCAGAGCAGGTGTGCATGTGCATGTTGTGCTTATTTTCAATAAAACTATTACTACGATAAACTACACATAACATCTAATTTACCACTTCATCTCTTTTGGGGTTTTTGTTTTGTTTTGGATTGGTTTGGCTTGGTTTGTTTGTTACCGGGGATCAAATTCAGGACCTTGCACTTGCGAGGTAGGTGGCGGCCCCACTGAGCTAAATCCCCAGCCCACCGCTTCACCTCTGTTAAGTGCACAGTTGAGTGCCATTAAGTACATTACTACTGTACAAACACCATCCACAGACCTTATGCGTCTTCCCAGAATGAAGCAGTCTCCACTAAACACTGACTTCCTCTGCCTGCCCCAGCTCCTGGTACCCAGTATTCTGCTTGCTAGGCCAGTGAATCTGACCACTCTGGGGAAAAAGGTGGAATGGTCACTTTTGCGATGGCCATAACTCATTTGGCATAATTTTTGCATGGTTCTGTGCCAGAATTTTCTTATTTTTACATTTATTCTGATGATCTGTTACCGGGTACGTAAATTTGTATAATTCGTATTTATGATTAATGTATGTTCTTGCTGTATTGAACCTTTCATTAGTATATACTGTCCTTTGTCCCAAGTAATGCTCTCTGGTTTAAAGGCTGTAGAGTAGTAGTATAGCCAGCCCTGCTGTGTTTGGGTTAGTATTTATTGGAATATCTTTTGTTTTTCTATCCTTTCGCTTTCAACTTGTCCGTATCTCTGTCGCTAAACCGAGTCTCAGGCTAGGGCTGAAGCTCAGCAGTAAAGGCTTGGGTGACAGGTATACTGCCAAGTTCTAGCCTCAACACTGCAAATCAATCAGTCAGTACATAAAAGTAAACTGAGTCCCTTATAGACAGCAGATAGCTGGACCTTTACTGTGAAGGGTAATCCATTCTACTAATCTCCATCTTTCGACTGGAAAATTTAATCCACTTAAAAGTGATTACTGAAAGTGATTATTTCATTTTGATATTTGTTTTCTATATACCTTCTTTTTGTTCCTCATTTCCTGCATTACTTTTACCTTTCTGTTTAGCTGACTTTTTGTCAGTGATAGTCATTTCCTTTAGTATATTTTATAGCTTTTTTATTTGTGATTACCACGGGGATTACATAGCATCCTAAAGTTAAACACTGAATTGAATATAAACCAGCTCAACTTTAACAACTACAAAAACTCTGCTCCTATAGTGCTCTGTCTCCAGAGCTTTCAGTTATTGTCACTAAATTACCTCTCTATATATTGTGTCTCTAAAACATATATTAATCATTGATTGTTCAATTTCTTACTCTCTTAAATCCCATAGTAAACAAAATTGGGAGTTACAGATCCTTGTTACAATAATATTATTTCATAATCACCTGGGTATTCAGCTTTACTGCAATTTTCACTTCTTCATACAGCTTTGAGTTACCATCCAGGGCCCTTTCATTACAACCTGTGGGGCTTCCTGAGCATTCTCACAGGTGGGTCTAGGATAACAAACATCCACTGCTTTCCTTAAAATCTGAGACTATCTTAATTTCTCCTATACTTTTGCAGGACAATTTGGATATAGCATTACTCTTGGTTGATGGTATTTTTTCTTTCAGTGTTTTGACTACACATAGCCCACTACCTTCTGGCTTGCAAAGATTCTGACAAGAAATCTGCTGGTAATCTTGTGGAGGACCCTTGTACATATGAGTCACTTTTCTGCTGCTTTCAAGATTCTCTCTGCCTTTTTCTTTCAAAGGTTTGATTGTAATATGTAGCTGTGGATCTCTTTGAGTTCATCTTACAGTTCATTGAGCTTCTTGGATGTTTATTTTCATAGTTTATATAAATTTGGGGACTTTTGGTTTATATTTTTCAAATCTCTCCCTTTCTCTCTCTCTCTCTCCCCCCCCCCTTCTCCTGGGATTCCTACAGTGCATGTTTGTCTGGTGGTGACCCAAAGCTCCCTAAGGCTCTGTTCCCTTCTCTTCAGTCTTTTTTTTCTTTCTCCTCCTCAGACACAATAATTCCACTTATTCTGTGTTCAAATTTGTTGATTCTTGCATCTGCTCAAATCTGCTTTGAATCTGTAGAAAATTTTTCATGTTATTCTTCTTTTCAGCTCCAGAAATCTTTTGTTTCCATTTAGATTTCCTATCTCTTTATTGATATTTCCATTTTTGTAACTTTCTCTGCATATTCCTTTAGTTTTTTGAACACTCTTAGGACAGTTGTTTTAAAAATCTATGTCCAGCGTGTCTGTCTTCTAGTCTTTCTTAAGGAAGATTTCTGTTTGTTATTTTTTTTCCTTTTCTTTGTATGCCTTATAACTTTTCTTTTCAAAATTGAATATTTGAATCTGACACTGTTATAACTCTGAAAAGCATATTTCCCCATTTCCCAGGGGTGTATTTTCATTTTCATTTTTTAATTATTTTAGATAGCCTATGTGCTTAGGTTCAGCCTAGGTGTAAATGTGAGAGTGTCTCAGGTCTTCTTTGACTGAGTGTCCATGGTGACTTTCTAAATTCCTCTGTCTGTGTTTGGTTTAAAATGTCCTGACTTACAATGACTGG